CGCCACTTCCATCGACGCTCAGTTTGTCGACGTTGACGTTCAGTCCGTCATTGTCACCGATCAGTTTGCCGTCATCCAGTTCGACGCCGCTGCCTGCATCATCGCCGATTCGAGTCCTGATTCCGCAGCCCTTTGGTGCAGGCCGATCCTGAAGCCGAATACGCCTAGTTCGTGTATGATCCAGTGATAGGCGTGGTTGATTTATAGCTCTCTCAGTGGTTCGAATATCAGTTATTCGAAACCATAGTCGGATACATTAAGCGCGTGACTCCGCAGATTACCGAGAGCATGGAGTCTTTTGGGAATCAACTCGTGGTACTGACGCTTCTATCCAGACACGCCGTTTTATCCCAGTTACATAGCTCTCGGAGGAGAACACCGCCACTCAGATTTGGTGTCATCACACCACTTTTTGAGGTCCCTCACGTCGAACCAGTTCAGCCCAACGAAGGTTTAGTTTTTTTCGACCCAGTGTTTTCGGAAGCGCTATTGCGTGCTTGTTATTATCAATTTTAATATCAATTACGATTGTGTTGTATTCTGTTTGATTAGTGAGCGAGTGATTCCGTTGCCAAGTATATCTGCAAATCTAAATATTACAAGTCGAACCTTATTACGAGTACGGATCATTACATTTATTTTCTGAATAATTTACAAGGCTATAAACTTAGTAGATTGACAACTTTTGCTTAAAAACCATCTAGCGCTTCATTTTATTCTCGAGTTTCCTGCCTAGATCAATCGCTGATTTGGTGAAGCATTGCTGTCGCTGTTCTTTATACATGCATACACATTGTTTCACATCACATCATCCCTACAATTGTTAATTTTGGCCTAGTAAAGACATTTCACGAGAAAAAAAGTAGAGGATACAGAATATAGAAAAAGAAAATAAACTTTATTACAGGTACTCCATGATGCCAATAATGGGGGTATTTATTCAAATTTAAATGTCTTCACTTCCATTTCCATAGAGCTCTGCACCTGGTGTTGCCTTTCACTCATCAAAGATCAACAAGGCAAATAATATTATAATCAAAGAAGAAGATAGGCCACCACTTCCTTCTCTTTATTTGCTTCCTTACCCCAAATTCCTCCCTTTTTCCAGCTCAGAATCTGACCCGAATGGAGCATAAGGGTCTTCTTGAATTCCACTATATATATAGCACCATGTGGAGTGACTTTGATCCTGTTGCTTTTTGGAGAATACAACTCTCTACACAAAGGGAACTTTTATTGATAGAATACTAGAGAGTACAACACTTGCTCTTACAAGAACACCTCACTTTCACACAACTCTTTTATTTTGGTGGACACTCACACAAGCCTACACTACACACTCAAGCTCATTTCTTGTCTGCTTACACAAACGAGAGCCCAAGACCCCTATTTATAGTTGCTTAAGAGGGCTAGGAAGTGTGTGAAAGAATCAATCCTAGTCGTACATTAGTAAGAAGTTTCTAGAAGAATAAATACTAGCCATACACTTGTATCTTCCTAGAAACTTCTTGGTAAATATTTTGTAGGATATTTCTAGAAAGAAGTTTCAGAAAATTGTTCTAGAACAATCTAAGTTAGTGAGGAATTCTAACACTCCCTCTCATCACCAACTTTATTCGCTCTTGCAATCATTCCTAGTCATTCTCGAAATTCTGTAAACTTAGAAGGATTCAAGCTCTTGGTGAAAATGTCCGCTACTTGGTCTTTGCTCTTGATTAATTGCACCTGTATTTCTCCTTGTAGCACCTTGTCTCTTATGTAGTGATGATGGATCTCTATGTGCTTCGTTCTCGCATGAAAAACTGGATTATTTGCCAACCGAATAGTTGATTGATTGTCGCAATGGAGAGGTACCGGATAGTCGACTGGCTGATGCCAATTACTCAATAGTTGCAGTAACTATGTGCTCTTGGGCTGCCATTGCTGCTGCTCTGTACTCTGCCTCGGTAGTTGAAAGTGACACTGTCGATTGCCTTTTGCTACACCATGATACTGCTCCTGATCCAAGACTGAATACATACCTTGTTGTTGATTGGCAAGTGTCATGATCTCTAACGAAATTTACATCGCAATGTCCAATGACTTTTAGTGGTTCTTCTTTCCTCTATAGTACTCCAAAGTCAAGTGTTCCTTTTACATACTTCAATATTTGTCGAACTACTCCTAGATGAGGTTGTGTCGGCTTTTGCATAAACCGGCTTGCTACTCCAACTCCAAATGAGATGTCAGGCCTTGTAATAGTTGGATAGATTAGACTACCTACCAATTGTCTGTATGTAGTCAAATCCTCCAACTCTTGGCCTTTTTCCACACAACTTCTTTCATTTTCCGCCATAGGAGTTGTGATTGACTTGCACTTTAGCATCCTAAATTTCTACAGGAGATCTTTTGCACACTTGTGTTGGTGCAAGAATATCCCTTCTTCTAATCGTTCTACCTCAAGTCCAAGAAAGTGTTTGAGCTCTCCAAGTTCTTTCATTTGGAATCGTACCGCTAAATTCTCTCTAATTCGACGAATTTTTAGTTCATCATCTCCAGTGATGATAATGTCATCTACGTACACTAGCACTATTGCTAGTCTCCCTTCTTCAAATTTTACGAACATGCTTGAATCTGCTGGTACTGGTGCATATCCATTATGCACCAAAAATTCTGTCATCTTACCATACCATGCTCGTGGAGCTTGTTTTAGTCCATAGAGAGCTTTTCTCAACTTACAGACATATTATGCTATTGCATTTTTTAAATATTTAATATCTTTTTTCTTAAAATAATTTGATTTTAGTAAATTTAGTGACATATAATGATCAGATATCTATTACCAAGTATACAGAAGTTACAACACCAACAATTTAGTTTTTTCAGAGTTTGCAGTTAGCATATGGTTTGATAACATCACATTGAATTGTGTTAGATCATCAAATAAAGTACCAATTAAAACGAATGCTAAAGGCTTAGTGTTCCACTTATGAAAATGGCCGACCTTTTTGTTCCTCTCAGTTACTATTCTACATTGCCTAATTGCTTTGATTGAGCTTTCTTGAATACTGCACTCATATCGAAAATAATCCATTCATATTCAACTTTGGTGAAGATCTTTATACGGTTAAGTATGCTCCTATGTCCTCAAATCCTGAAGCTTGGTGCCTTTAAACGTATACAGGGAGGATATAATTTCTGTTATTTTGATATAGGGAAAGGAAGAGGTGCATAATTGGATTGGAAGACCCAACACCAAATTATTATAGGGATGGCTCGTGGACTTACTCTATCTTCACCAAGATTCCAGATTCCGAATCATTCACAGGGATCTTAAAGCCAGCAACATTCTTCTGGATAAAGATATGAACCCCAAAATTTCAGACTTTGGCATGGCTAGAATCTTTGGCGGGGATTAAACAGATTTCAATACGAGAAAAGTTGTGGGGACATAGTAAGTACAAGTCCACAACATTTATTTACATAGATTCACCAAAATGATAAATGAAATTGACAACAATCCTGTTTTATGATGGGATACAGTGAACATGTCTGCAGAGTATGCAACGGACGGTATCTTCTCAATGAAGTTGGAAGTATTCAGTTTTGGTGTGCTAATACTTGAAATCATAAGTGTAAAGAAGAACCAAAGGGAGTATGCCTGTCCTCCCCACATAAACCTTGACGCACATGTAAATGACGAACTTTAGATCTCTACTTAATTTTACTTTGAATTTGATCAAAACCGAAACCTGAGAAAGTTTGGATTTTGAAACAGGCATGGAGTTTGTGAAATGAAGGTAGGAGCTTGCAACTAGTAGATGAATCGATGAGTTGCTCATTTCCAGCAAACGAAGTACTAAGGTGTATAAAACTGGGCCTATTGTGTGTGCAAGTAAACCCCAACAACAGGCCATTGATGTCGTCAGGTGTTATGATGTTGTCAAGTGATTTTGAATCAGTGCCGCAACCTAAGAAGCCTGGATTTGTATCACATGTAGGTCCCTTGGAAGTAGACACACCCTCAAGCAATCAAGATTCTTCTACAACAAATGAAATGAGTATTACCATTTTAGAACCTAGATAGATTGTCAGACTGTTGAGAAGTTTTTGAAACTATTGGTTTTTCTTTTTTTCTTTCCTTTGTTCAGGATACTTGAGGAATACTTCTTATTTTATCAAGCACCCATGTGTTGCGTTAGATTTGTGAATGATAGATGTTGAGGTTTTGGAGTAAAGGTTACCTCTATTTTCTCAGTGTACATTATTTTGGGATGAGTTATTTGCAGTAATATGGCATCTTATTTGTTGCATAAAATTTTCACAATGGATGAGATCAATTTGACGTTTCCGTGAGGCTAAAATTGAAGAATTAATTTCATTGGTGATAAAAGCGGTAAGAACCAGCCATCTCGCCTTTCATTAGAAGGTTATCAATGAACCTAAACAAATATTAGGGCTTTAGAACACTTATTGGAAGCATGCATTGTTTGTTTCTGATGTTTTGTGGTTTTTATACTGATATGATTTATACCTCTGTAAGTAAACATTTTTCCAAAATCCACAGAAGTCTTATACTGCTTTGATACTAAATTTGTCTCGATTGTCAATATATACTTGGCTTCTTGCTTGTCAAATACTTGTTTCTCTTCGTCTTTCTTTTCTGGAGGCTAATCCAGGAAAGAAACTTACTACGCCTGCATTCATGATTAAATAGATTCACCATGTGCAGTCAATATGGATTCAAACTGTTCAGTCTAAGTGATTCCATAAAATTGTTCTACAGCATGAACATGAGAAAATTTCATCTGTTTGCATAATTCAAACCGATTATTGTAAGTTTTGTCTCTTACGTAGTTGATTAATATTATTCTCCTGAAAGTTCATCTTTTTTTTTTTTGTAACTTTTTTCATTTGTTTTAATCATTAGGATGTTGAAAAAGAAATGAATCATTGGGGAGGTGGGCTTCCCACTGTCCCTACCTAATTGCATAGTTCTGACATGAGTCACAGACTTTAAGCAAGAGTAGGTGGTGATATATGCAACCTGAAATCTCCTCTACGCGTCTAGTCTTTGTTTAGGACAACCAATTCAAATTTTTCTTTGAAATTTTGGTGAATCAACAGTAAGCAGTCACATAGAACAATCACGTCCAGATTAATCAAACCGTGCGTTACCTTTTCTCTCATTTTCCATATGAAAAGGAGACACTTGTCTTTTTTTGAAGGTTTATAGCGTCATTCCATTATTGACAACTTTCTAAGCCCAGGTATCTCAACCATGAACCTGGGAGTTATGAAAAATTGGCCACTGTTCCTTCTCCTCTTCTTCAATCTCTCAGCTCACTCCTTTGCAGGGGACAGCATCACTGTGAAAACATCAATTTCAGATGGCCAAAGTCTAATATCTGCAGGTGGAAGCTTCGAACTTGGTTTCTTTACGCCGGATACTTCCAGACACAGATATTTGGGTATCTGGTACAAGAGTATCCCAGTTCATACAGTAGTGTGGGTAGCAAACAGAGAAAACCCAATTTCTGATTCTATCAGTAATCTGACAATGCAAAACAATGGTGGTCTCATCCTTCAAAATGCAACTGGTTCGATTCTCTGGTCGACTGTCTCATTGAATCTCACAAGCCCGGTTGCTCAACTATTGGATTCAGGAAACTTTATCATAAAGGATGTGAGCAATAGTTCAGAAACAATAGCCTGGCAGAGCTTCGATTATCCTACTGATACACTTCTGCCAGGCATGAAGCTTGGATGGAACCTGAAAACTAATCTTGACAGGTATCTCACAACATGGAAAAGCAATGAAGATCCTTCAGTTGGCGACTACTCGTTTAAACTAGACCTCCAGGGGTCACCAGAGTTCTACATATGGAATGGTTTGACGAAAATTTATCGGAATGGGCCTTGGACAGGGTATGATTTCAGTGGTGAGCCTGAAATGGAGTACAATAATGCCTTCAGCTTCGAGTTCATCTCCAACGACGATGAAGTATACTATACATACAAAATTTTGAATAGTTCAGTTATTTCAAGATTTGTTTTGAATCAGTCCATGATTCAAAGGTATGTTTGGATCAATTCACAAGTATCTTGGTTCATATACTGGTCAATGCCGAGGGATGGATGTGATTTTTATGCTCAGTGTGGTGCTTATGGAGTCTGTAACTCGAATCAGTCACCAGTTTGTAGTTGTTTGAAAGGATTTGTGCCAAAATCACCGCAGAACTGGAATATGAGAGACGGGTTAGATGGATGTGTGAGGAGAACACCATTACATTGTCAGAATCGAGATAGGTTTCTTAAGATGAGTGGGATGAAGGTGCCTGATACTTCTCAGGCCACTGTGGATAAGAGCGTTAGTCTCGATGAATGTAGGCAAAATTGTTTGAGTAATTGTTCTTGTATGGCTTTTGCAAATGCCAATATTGGTGAAGGTGGAAGTGGTTGTATAACTTGGGGAGGTGATTTGATTGATATCAGAGAGTTTGAAGAAGGTGGGCAAGATCTCTACATAAGGCTGGCGGCATCAGAGCTTGGTGAGTGTCCTATTTTTTTCATTTGAAGTATATGGAGTTGCAAACAAATTTGGATTATTTATTCTTGTTAAGGTTGCGGATACAGATTCAGGCAACGGAAACTCAGAAAACAAGAAAACTTTGATCATTATTGTGGCAATCATAGCTGGAGTGATGCTTTTGCTGGGGTTCTCTGGATGCTGTATCTTGAAGAAGGAATTGGAAAGTTACTGTATGTGCAGGTGTTTTCTGATGTTTTAGTTATGCTCTCCTATGAATTTATCTAATTCTACTACTTTCTGTAGCTTCCTGTAGAACAGGTCATATGAGAAGTTTTGGGAAACTACAGTTGTCATTTAATTCTATCAGTACTGACCGCAACTCCGACAATGAAGTACATCTCCCTTTGTTTGATCTGCGCACCATATTGTTTGCTACAAACAATTTCTCAAACACTAATAAGCTTGGTGAGGGTGGATTTGGTGCTGTTTACAAGGTAAAATGCACTGCATAATTTGGTAATTTCTTTCGACATTCTATCTGGAAGGTAAAATACGCTGCATATTTTGTGAGCTGCATAACGTAGTAATTTAGTACAGGGAAAACTTGGAGAAGGACAATTCATAGCTGTAAAGAGGCTATCCAAAAACTCATTACAAGGGCTTGAAGAGTTCACGAATGAGGTTATGTTGATCATCAAACTTCAGCACATAAATCTTGTTCGGCTTTTAGGTTGCTGCATTCAAGGGGAAGAAAGGATGCTAATCTACGAATATATGCACAATAGAAGTTTGGACACCATTATTTTTGGTTTGGCCTTGCTCTATTTTCATTTTCTTTTAAAGTAAAAGTGTAGCTTGTCTGTGACACTTACTTCGATGAACAACTTCACAGATAAATCGAAAGCTAGACTCTTAAACTGGCAAAAGCGTTTCAACATCGTTGCCGGGATCGCTCGTGGACTTCTTTACCTCCATCAAGATTCAAGGCTCAGAATTATTCATAGGGACCTGAAAGCTAGCAACATCCTTCTCGATGACGAAATGAACCCAAAAATTTCAGATTTTGGTGTTGCGAGAACATTTGGTGATGGTACAGACGAACATACCAAGAGACTAGTCGGGACACTGTAAGCATAATGTGCAATTATTCTTAAGTTTTGGACTTGTATAATTATACTAATATCGGCATGCAGTGGCTATATGTCTCCAGAGTATGCAATGGACGGCGTTTTTTCAATAAAAAGCGACGTTTTCAGCTTCGGTGTCTTAGTTTTAGAAATCATAAGTGGCAAGAAGAACAAAGCAACATGTTATGCTGAGCCTCAACTAAACCTTCTCAGCTATGCAAGTATCAGTAAAGAGTGTTTTGCTATATATTATGCTCTTATGCTCAACTACTGATTGACATGTTACAGGCATGGAAGCTGTGGAAAGAGGGAAAATGCTTGGAACTGTTAGATGAATCAATTAGCAGTCCTGATTCAATTCCTGAAGTCGTGCGATGCGTGCAAGTAGGCCTTTTATGTGTTGAGGAAAGGGCAGAAGACAGACCTGATATGTCTCTGGTAGCATTGATGTTAGGTGCAAAAATAAGCCTGCCACAGCCAAAAGCGCCTGGTTTTTGCACCTACAGGAGTTCGGGGGATACCGAGGTTTCTTCGAGCTGTACTGTTAATGATATAACAGTCACAGGGATAGAGGATCAATAAATTCTTGTACGTCGTGTTTCGTATCTTCAAATGTTTCTGTGATTCAGAGGTTGGCAGTGAAAGGGATCTGATTCGTTGAATCTTACTGATCATGAGTTCTCTATCAGTAGTTTCATAACGGAGGTATTATGTGACCACGAATAACTGGTTATCTTCTGGAGAGGGATGGCTTTTAATTTTACTTTTGTTCGTCAAGTCAGATTCATATTTGCTGGTATTGTTAAGTGAGTTTTAAGAGCTGGTGCTCAAAACTTACAACAGCTGAGCTCTTGTTTCAGAAATCATATTCTATATCACAAGGGAAAAAGATACCAGCTGGTTCCCAATTTCAACCTTCGTTGTATAAAATATGCTTCATTGAAAATAAAGACTGCGTCTGCAAGAAATAAATAAATAAGTAGATGCGTAAATAATGGTCGAACGAAATACATAAAAATCAAAGCCCTTGCGCCACCCCCCCGGCTCCCTTCTCTTTGATTCTATAGCCAAGAAGAGCGACAAAAGGTGAAAAAGTTGGCAGGTGATCCTCTTTGTTTCTAGCTTTCTTTTTAATTTTCTGATTTATTTCAGGAGTTGCAAGGTTTGGTTAGAAATTAATTGCTTCTTTTTTAATCGAACTGCATTAACTCAGCCAGTTACTTCTGACAGGGTGAAGAGAAATATAAACCGTAAACAAACGAGTTACCTTTCGAGCGGCCCAAGAGATGGTAAATGAAACAGTAACATCCGCAAATTGATGAATTAACAAAGAGTGCGATGATCTTTTAACATAATCCCTAGCAATTGTCAATTTTGGCCCGCTGCAGGCATCCCGATATCAGAGGAAGGAGCGAAAGGATACTGAATATAGGAAAAAGAGAATAAACTTTATTACAGGTAGCCAATAATGGAGGCATTTACTCAAATTCAAATTTAAATGTTCTTCAATAATGGAGTGACTCTATTGGTCCCCATTATTCGAGAGGGATATTCCGCAACCGAGTGGGATGGACGTATCGAGCCCTTCCATAAAACTAGCCAATGTTCCCTAATATCGCACCAAAACTCTAAATTTGCGATGAATATATTGAAAGATATATGAATAGAATGGGTAGCAATAGATATGGGCAAATGAAATCTAGAATATAGAAACTGATGCCTGCCACAGCCAAAAGCGCCTGGTTTTTGCACCTACAGGAGTTCGGGGGATACCGAGGTTTCTTCGAGCTGTACTGTTAATGATATAACAGTCACAGGGATAGAGGATCAATAAATTCTTGTACGTCGTGTTTCGTATCTTCAAATGTTTCTGTGATTCAGAGGTTGGCAGTGAAAGGGATCTGATTCGTTGAATCTTACTGATCATGAGTTCTCTATCAGTAGTTTCATAACGGAGGTATTATGTGACCACGAATAACTGGTTATCTTCTGGAGAGGGATGGCTTTTAATTTTACTTTTGTTCGTCAAGTCAGATTCATATTTGCTGGTATTGTTAAGTGAGTTTTAAGAGCTGGTGCTCAAAACTTACAACAGCTGAGCTCTTGTTTCAGAAATCATATTCTATATCACAAGGGAAAAAGATACCAGCTGGTTCCCAATTTCAACCTTCGTTGTATAAAATATGCTTCATTGAAAATAAAGACTGCGTCTGCAAGAAATAAATAAATAAGTAGATGCGTAAATAATGGTCGAACGAAATACATAAAAATCAAAGCCCTTGCGCCACCCCCCCGGCTCCCTTCTCTTTGATTCTATAGCCAAGAAGAGCGACAAAAGGTGAAAAAGTTGGCAGGTGATCCTCTTTGTTTCTAGCTTTCTTTTTAATTTTCTGATTTATTTCAGGAGTTGCAAGGTTTGGTTAGAAATTAATTGCTTCTTTTTTAATCGAACTGCATTAACTCAGCCAGTTACTTCTGACAGGGTGAAGAGAAATATAAACCGTAAACAAACGAGTTACCTTTCGAGCGGCCCAAGAGATGGTAAATGAAACAGTAACATCCGCAAATTGATGAATTAACAAAGAGTGCGATGATCTTTTAACATAATCCCTAGCAATTGTCAATTTTGGCCCGCTGCAGGCATCCCGATATCAGAGGAAGGAGCGAAAGGATACTGAATATAGGAAAAAGAGAATAAACTTTATTACAGGTAGCCAATAATGGAGGCATTTACTCAAATTCAAATTTAAATGTTCTTCAATAATGGAGTGACTCTATTGGTCCCCATTATTCGAGAGGGATATTCCGCAACCGAGTGGGATGGACGTATCGAGCCCTTCCATAAAACTAGCCAATGTTCCCTAATATCGCACCAAAACTCTAAATTTGCGATGAATATATTGAAAGATATATGAATAGAATGGGTAGCAATAGATATGGGCAAATGAAATCTAGAATATAGAAACTGATTTAGACAAAGAATCAGCTTGGCAACACAAATGAATAGGAGGCTAGCTCCTAATTTTCGACTGATAAGCTTGTGCACAACTGCACATATTGTCCTTCACAACTTTCTTTCTCAGTTTATCTCCACTAAGCAGTCTAAGCTAGCTAGACTCGTTCATAAATTGTCATGGTGATATATGTCACTGACCCCATAATTAGGAGTGTGAGCGGTGGTACTGCATCCAATCATCACAGGATTTAGCTTCTTATGCATTCTTCATAGACGAACTTAAATGATGCTGAACTGAACGAATTTGACGCCTATGCCTCGGCAATTGAGTTTCATATATGCTGCAACTGCAGGATCTAATGGAGCCTTATATCGCTTTTCTGATGAACATACTATATAGCTTGGCTTTTTTTAAATTTTTGTACCTTCAAATTATGAAGTAAATAAATAAACGTATAATTAAGATGCAAACAAGAGTCAATAAAATAAGTCATAAGTAGATTATGAACGTATTGACCTGTTATGATTGTTGTTGCTTATTTTGCTAGCTAGGAGGAAGAGATGTTGATTTAGGTTTGCGAGTCTTTCATGTTGATAATTTTCATTTCGAATGTTTTCATGCCATCTATTGATTGGTTCTTTGGACATAGTTTAGAAAAGAGTGTTGACCCTTTCTAAAACAGTCCACTTTGGTGTACATATTTGGAAAAATTATATCGATTTTAGAGTGAACCTTTCATCCACAAAATTCAACATATATTGAATTTCCAAGTCTGGAACAACTCATGGCTATGGCTTGAGAAAACAAGAAGTATTCCACGGAATCCCAAAAAATTAGAAGAAACAAGAAAAATTTTAGTTACAAAACTTCTGAACAACCCAGATATCTACCTAGCTTCTAACATGGTAATGCTCATTTCATTTGATATAAGCGAATCCTGATTGCTCGAGGATGTATCCACTTCAAAAGGGCCTCTTGTTCCCGCAAAACCAGGCTGCTTAGGCTGCGGTAGTGATGCAACATCACTCCCTAGCATTAACACAACAGATGACATTAATGGCCTGTCTTTAGCATCTTCTTGTACGCATAACAGACCCAGTTTTATACATCTTAGTACTTCATTCGTAGGAAATGAGTAGCTCATCGCCTCGTCAACCAGTTGCAAGCTCCTGCCTTCCTTCCACAAACTCCATGCCTGCTCCAAAATCCAGACATGTCAGGTTTCGATTCGATTAAAATTGATAAAAGGTGAAATAAGTTTAGAGTTCGTCATTTACATGTGCAACGAGGTTTATGTGGGGAGGAATTGCATACACCCCTCTGTTCTTCTTTCCGCTTATGATTTCAAGTACTAGAACACCAAAACTGAATACATCTGACTTCATTGAGAATATTCCATCCATTGCGTACTCAGGAGACATATATCCACTGTATTTCATCATAGAACAAGATGACAGTCAATAACATTTATTATGTTTGTTAATCTATGAAATTATATATTTCTGGATTGTACTTACTATGTCCCCACAACTTTTCTTGTATTGAAATCTGTCTCATCCCCCCCAAAGAGCCTGGCCATTCCGAAGTCTGAAATTTTGGGGTTCATATCTTTATCCAGAAGAATGTTGCTAGCTTTGAGATCTCTATGAATGATCCGAAATCTAGAATCTTGATGAAGATAGAGGAGTCCACGAGCAATCCCTATAATAATTTGGTTTCGTATCTTCCAATCCAATAGTGCACCTCCTCCTTTCTCTATTAGAAATTATAGTTAGTGTTATTATTCCTTTTTAGCTGTACCAAAACAAGAGAGTATATTCTCCTCATTTATGTTTTAAGAAACCACATTTTTAGGATTTAAGTACATATATAGGAGCTCCCTGTCCTTATAAAGTTCTTCTCCACAGTTGGATACCTAGTCCTGATAGGTTGGGGGTGGATACCAACCTCCGGCGGCGGAGGAGCTCCGACGAGCTCCAGGATGGCGGCGGCGAGGTCCAGGCGACAGGCGGCGAGGTCCAGGCGACAGGACGAGCTCGAAGCCTCGAGCTCTGCGTTCGTTCGAAGCTGGCGTCGATGGCGAGCTCTGCGTCGATGGCGAGCTCTGCGTTCGCCTGCCCCCTGAACTCTGCGTTCGCCTGCCCCCTGAACTCTGCGTTCTTTGGCGAACCCGACCTTTGCGTCTGGGTTATTTGCTGGCGACAGGCTGTCGCCAGCTCCTCATCTCCGCTTATATAAACCCCCTCATCAAGTGGGAGCCATGGCCGCAGATGAGGGAAAGGTGAGAATAGAGAAGTTTGATGGATCAGATTTCGGATTCTGGAAAATGCAGATAGAGGATTATCTGTATCAGAAAAATCTGTATCAACCTCTCTCGGGGAAGAAGCCGGAGGGTATGAAGGAAGAAGATTGGAATCTTCTGGACAGAAAAGCCCTCGGGGTTATTCGTTTGACGTTAACCCGCAATGTTGCTTTTAACATTGCAAAGGAGAAGACCACGGCAGATCTTATGGCAGCACTCTCCAATATGTATGAGAAGCCATCAGCCTCAAATAAAGTCCATTTGATGAGGCGGTTGTTTAATCTGCGAATGGCGGAAGGTGCATCGGTAGCACATCATCTCAATGAACTCAATACAGTCACGACCCAATTGAGTTCAGTTGATATTGAGTTTGATGAGGAAGTTCGAGCGTTGATCCTTTTGTCTTCCCTACCAGAGAGTTGGAACGCTACGGTCACAGCTGTGAGTAGCTCATCGGGAAGCAATAAGTTGAAGTTTGATGACGTTCGTGATCTGGTTCTCAGTGAGGAGATCCGACGGAGAGAGTCGGGTGAAGCTACAACCTCTTCAGTATTGCATACAGAGTCAAGAGGTAAAAGTTCAACCAGAGGAAATGGATCAGATGATAGGAGATCCAAATCCAGAAATCCCAACAGTTCGAAGGCTATCGAGTGTT